TGGCTGCCGGCCGCCATCTTGGCTGACAGTTAATTTGCATAAGGATATGCTGATTAGCCAATGGGAAGGGTAGCGGTTGTACGCTAATTACCATGTTTCTCTTTTATTAGTGTAGATAGTTGCTCATGTATTTTATATGCTTCTTAGAAATTTCTTAAAACTTACTTCCTTGTATTGATTTTACCCACAGGCAGCATTTAGAGCCTTAAAGCTAACGCTACAGCTGATTGCTCCTCTCCATGACATTGTGGCCTACCTTTTCAGTTTCGCTAAACTTGGGAATTTCCCAGCATGCTTTGAATTTCCTCTAAGTCCTAACCCTTTGAGAGGTGACTGGGGAGGAACTGAGGGCATTGGTAAGTGATTAAAGATATTTAAATCATCTTCAATATTCAGTTAGAATTCTGTGAAACTCTTCCTCTACTCACCACCCCCCTCCAGCTTTACTCAGGTATCATTGACAAATAAAATTGTTTAAAATATTTAAAGTGTACAGCATGATGACTTGATACACACATACATTACAAAATGATTTCCTCATCTAGTAATTACTATGAAGCTCTTAATACTTGGAAAGACAGAACTAAAAGATTTTCTCATACATTACAGTGATAAGGGCAAAGGGAAATCCTATTATATACTGTCTCCAAACTGATTAATTCCAATATTCCAAGTTAAACCGCAAAGTATGCACACCAAGTCAGGTGTGAGGAGGCCTGGGTTTTTACCCTGCCTCTGCCACTTAGATACTGGAAGTTGGACACTTTACTCTCTGGGTCTCTGTTTGTCCATCTGTAAAATGGGGATGATACCTGTCTCATAGAGATGTTCTGTAAATTAAAATCTATGTAAAAATTCTAAAAGGATGTATAAGCCCCACTACATATTAGTGCCCTTTCATTCCCTGTCCCTTCCTGGCCTTCGTGAGCTGATATGACAAGGAAAGCCAAGCATTCACCGTCGGGAAGCTTGCAGACAGCCCTTCGTTAGCTCACAGTGGCCCAATGGTCCTGTCATGAGAATGATTGAGGCTTTAGTGTTGCCTGCCCAGTGCTAAGCCATGAACTCTAGCTCAGTACTAGGTCCTAAGATAAATGCACATGATTCTGAAATGCTTCGTAAGCTGGGTTTATCAGAGGCAGGGAAACTGATCTTGTTATTTTAATAAATTGACTCCTATCTAAATTATGCCATTCGTCATGTAAATGTAAATTAATAGCAATATATTATAACATAGTAGCTAAGGATTTTAAAGGATGAGAAGTACCAGCAAAATGAGGTAATACGCCTACTGAAATCTAGTGGTCTTCAATGTAATAGAACTAGAATCTGTTCCTCTCTGGTCGGTGCTTAAAGGAGATACGTCTGTGGAGACCCTGACTGGCTTGCCAGTAGGTAGGTTTACACTGTGCTAATGAACACCGAAGGGATCTGTAAGCATTCAGGTGGGAGACACCGGGGAGGGTGTGAGCGGTGATCCATGAGGAAGATCATGCCTGTGTCTGAGGACAGGCAGCATGAAGGACAGGCCGCGGGGTTGGTGCTGCCTCGGTAGAAAGCACAGAATTGTTGCCAAAGAACGAGTTTCCAAAACTACTGGCAAGTCTTCAATAGAAGCAGCAGAGATTAGAGAAGTTCCAAAGCACTCTTAGATCCTTTCTTTTCACTAATTCAGGAACTGCTGTATAAAGAGGTTTACTCAGAAAATAAGCTAAGACTCTCTTTGGGGAGCTTCTGGATGTTTCCAGGGTGTGGGGGGCTGAGCTTCAGATGAGGGACAGGAGAAAGGAAGAAAAATTTCCAGGAAAAATGCCGCCCCTGCCCTTGATATGGGGGGACAGGTGCTTTATGAAGATGAGATAGAAGCCGAGAGAGAGCCAGAGCATGTTTTCAAAGGAGGTCGTTGCACAGGAGGTCCTATAGGCCTGCAGGGAAGGTGATCTAGGGAGACTGGTCCTCACTTGAATCAATGGAGAAAAATAGGAGGGATGGTCCTGGCAAGGCAAGCAAAGGGCACGGGCAAAGCACCAGACAGGACTCCCCGTGGCCAGTCCAAAGACTGGTGAACCCACCAGCATGACCCTGAGGAACGGTGGGAAATGAGGTCAAAGTATCGAGGAGCTAGAATGCAGAATGAAGGGAATTGGTTTCTTATATTTATATGTTTATGAACTGAAATCATTGACACAGGTAGGGCCCCGGCTTTCTGAGGTGCAGGATTAGAGGCGCACACCTTGTCGTGTTGCCAACAAAAACATTTGTGCTCCAAGAGGATGTGCAAAGTTTTGCATACTCCGCTTTGCTGAAAATAGATAAAGTTGAACTAAAAAAAAAAATCCCACTCTAAAATGATCTTTTTAAAAAGACTAGGCTGTTAGTTCCTGGCCTGCTTCCCAGAGGAAGCAAAGAGAACCAAGGTGAAAAGGTGAGATGGTCTGTTCATACACCCGTCCAACTCCTTCCAGCCATCCCAGAGCTATTTGGAGTTGGGTAAGATGACTTTTGTGGACTTGTATGCTATAAAATATTTTTAAAGGGACGCTGCGTTTTAGCATTGGTCCTCCCGCTTGACTGAGGAGGCAGCTCTTAGACATGCATCCTAAGCAGACAGCTCTGCGGCCCCTGCCAAATTCCCTCCTTCCGTGAAAGCCAGCAACTCCCCTTGGAGTCAGCATGAAGCAGAGGATGTCATCAGAATGTGGGAGGTTACCCTGCGACTTCCTGGTCAGGGTTAGGAGGCCAATTAAAGCGCAGATACTACACACTAATCTTGGTGTTTCAGGAACTCTGGAGACAAACTGGGAACAGGGTGTACTGGCTCTGAGCAGTCACATGAAGACAGGGCCGCTGTGATTCCTCTCTCTATTCAATAGAAAAAAAAAAAGAAATCTGATTTTAAAATGGGCAAAGGACCTGAACAGACATTTTTCCAAAGAAGACATACAAACAGCCAACAGGTAAATGAAAATGTGCTCAACATCACTAATCATCAGAGAAATGCAAATCAAAACCACAATGAGATATCATCTCACACCTGTCAGGATAGCTATATTTAAAAAGACAAGAGACCTGGACAGGTAGCTCAACTGGTTAGAGCATCGTCTGGATATGCGAAGGCTGCAGGTTTGATCTCTGGTCAGGGCACATACAAGAATGAACAAATAAGTGGAAAAACACTTCTCTCTCTCTCTTCCTCTCTTTCTCTAGAATCAATAAATTAAAAAAAAAGACAAGAGACAAATGTTGCCAAGGATGTAGAGAAAAGAGAACCCTTGTTCACTGTGGATGGGAATGTACTGGTAGAGCCATTATGGAAAACAGTATAAAGATTCCTCAAAAAATTAAAAAATAGAACTAACCTTTCTTTGACTGAAGAAATTGAAACTATATTTGAAATATA